CCAACTCTCGAATGTTACCAAACAAAGAGCATTTTTGCCGTCATTTGCTACCAGTCGTATCAATGCCAGCTGCCAATCTTAGGGCATAATCACACTATGACTTTTTCTTCAGAGGTCCGGACGTGATTGCTGTCAGATTCATCCATTTCTGGCCGTAATTGCAGTCAGATTCATCTATTTCTGGCCGTAATTGCAGTCAGCGCCTCCATCTTCCAGCCTCCTTCCTCCATCATGTTCCATGGTCTTCGTCGCTGTCCTCCCTCCTCCTCCCTTCTCCGCACAATCGATGTAGCCGGAGGTCTGCTATGTAGTTGTATTCAATCATTTGGGAAATGCATCAGCACCCAATGAAAAAGGAACCGTGCGGTCCTGCGACGTTCCCACCGCCCGCAGTTTCTGGTGGGCCCAGCAGGGGGTGTCAGCTTGAACATTCGGGAAATGCATCGGGCCGTGGGACCGATCGGCCGCGATGATTGCGACAACACACCCAAAGAAAAAGGAACCATGCGGTCCCCCGACGGTTTTGCCTGCCCACAGTTTTTGCTGGGCCCAGCAGGGGGCGTCACCTGAGGATCGCTATTTTCTTTAGGAGGTACAGAGATTATAATAATTGACGAATGAATGAACACAAATCAGTGTCCAAATGATCCCCCCTACTGTGAGTCCATAAAGAGATCTCCTTGAGCTCACACCCACTTTTCCGACTTCACTTGGTACGGCCACTATCTATGGCGGTTGATCCTGCGAGCTGCGTCGGATGTTCGACAGCCGACACAACTACTCTGGTGCACCTCATAACTACCGCCATAGCTGCCCTCCAGATGAACTCTTATGTCCAACCGGGACCCCAGCAGGGGCCTTCTTCATGCAGCGCCAACCAGGAAGCAGTATGGGCCCATGAGGACCCTTATCAGGGACCCGTATGAATACAGAGATCGAATGTAAGCGCAGAGCATCAGGTTAAGTCTTGCATTCAGATGAACCTGGAGAAGGTACAAAGGAGTATAGCGAAGTGCCAGCGAGATTGGCTTGCTTACGGCAGGCGGAGTGACTCACGTCGAAGGGCTCAACCTCAAGTTGAAAAGGATCGACGCAATTTGGAATCAGGGAACCAGATGGAAGAGAGGCATACGTAACCCCCTTCAGGAAAAACAGAACTCGATTCATGCCTTGCTGTTACAATCGAGTTCTGTGGATATCTTTGCATCATCATGAGTTATCTAAGTCAGTCTCTGGGCTAAGGTTGAGAGTTCAAATCCCTTTTTCCGCTCGTCAGCTTCCTTCGCTGCCCGGCCAAGACAAGAATGGAGCCCACCCCACCCCACCCTCGGGGGTGGGTGGGTGGGAAAGATGAACGCTCCGCAGCGGTTGTGTCACCAGAGGCCACGAAGTGGGAGAAAGTGGTTAATGAAGATTTAAAGCGTCATTTAGGTAAGTAGGGTCCGGAATGGATGCCAACAAGGTTGGCAGACAACATTGGATCACTGAGAAGTCCGCTAAAATTGGCTGAATCAACCAGGCACGTGGTACAGCGAATGTCCCGAAGATTTCTCCAAGCTGCGGGATCGGAATAGACATTGACGCTGGCAAGGTTGAGAAACAAACATTGGATCACTGAGAAGTCCTTTAAATCAAACCAGGCACGTGGTACACAGCCAATATCCTGAAGATTTCTCGAAGCTGTGGGATCGGATCCAGGCCGTTGTTACAGTTAATAGCAAGCTAGCAACCAATGTCTCGCCATAGAGGATTGTACGGTCTTCACCCAATCGTCCGGTCATTATGGCTGTGTTTGGGGCAGCTTTCAGGTTGGATACAGCGATAATGAATGGTCGTCGCGTTCGGGTATGGTAGTTCTGAATCTCAATCTGGCAGTCTTCGCCATAAAGGAGACTTAAGAGGAATCTAAGAAGGAAAAAGTCTCATCTTACAGTCGTCAATCCGCTATTGAGGAGTAATCGATGCTGTTTATTAAATTTGATTGTGTTGTGCATGTCTCTGTTTTTTGCCCTTACCAGAAGGAAGTATGGGGTTTATTGTATCGTGTCATATGGAAAAGGAGGGAAGAGACGATGTGGGTAGAGACGAGGGAAACTTCCTTTTCCAAATTTCCATCAGCAAGGAGCTGGACTTCTGCACCTGTGAACTTGATGGAAAAGGACCTAGACGTATGCGCTCCCTAGAATGTATACGGAGCCCGGGCCAGAAGGACTTGTTTACGCAAAAAAAAAAAAGAAAGGAACTAGATTTATGCACCTGGGAATAGAAAGAACGGAAGAGACGATGTGGCTGAACAGTAGATACAAAGACTAAGTAATTGTTTTTGATTGCTAGATGACATCTTCGAATCCTGATGGAATCAGAGCAATACAATATTGTGAGGGTGTTATGTGCCTAATTGAAACAAATTCAGCATGGCGTTCACACGTTCCCATACACATGCGAAATGACAAGTAGACTTGGAGAGAGCAATCCACACCAAACTAGATGAGGAGAATACACAGCTGAAGCTCACAACCAGAAATAGAATTGAATTCAAAATTTCAAATCAATTGTAAATTCTAATTTAGCATCCGTCTCTTTCCACTCGATCAGCAGCACGAATTTCCCGGGATCCCAACCACGTTACAACTCACAACACTCGCTAACCAATCAAAAAAGAAGTTCCGTCGAGATAACTGGGAGACTTCTTCTTCCTCCGTCGACATCAAGCTCTAGTTATGGCGCAGATATGCGCCCAACCTCTCAAGGCCCACCAATCGCCACACACCCTCCGGAACCCAACACGCCACTCTGCTCCAACTAAGAATCCCACTGCAGATGTAAGTGTCAGCACAGCAGGGGAGCGCAGCTCTCAGGACGACGACGAAGAAGAAAACGAACTCGATGAAGAGGAAGAACATCTGCCAAGTCTCCCCCATGGCATCCATTTGACTCCTCACGGCCCCCTGTGTGGCATACTTTGGGCACACCGGTTGAGATAGTCGGCCTGACCCTCCTGGCTGGTTGTGAAAGTGGTGACTGGTCTTTCCAGCCCACGCCAAGTGTTAGGAGCATGGGTACTGCTCCCCGCACTGAGCAGGGTTAGGTAGTCGGTAGGCGTAGACCTTACACCCATAAGACTTGCTTGGCTTAGGGTAGGGAATTTAAGCTAGGTTGCTTGCTAGCTTGTTGCCTCTTACAGATCTGGAAGGTGGGTAGACTAGATTGTCTGTGCTTGGTTCCCTTGGGTTGCAGTTCTGGGTTGCCCTGGGGGATGGTAGGTTGTTTGCTGATACATGTGTGAGTAGGGTAGTGTGAGGAAAAAAGTACCGAAATTTGAGAGAAGAAAAATAGGGTAATAAAAAACGCAGCTGTTCCCCATACGAGGAGAAAACAGACTGTATGTTTTTTTCCTTTAATTGAAAAAAAAGAGAACACCTGCCAAGTCAAAGAACAACTTGAAGAAGCAGCTTCGTGGCAGCTGTCAAAACCCCACCAGCTCACAGGTACGAGGAGGCGACTTACAGCGCGCAGGGCCTCGGACCCAGGGTCCGGTGTCCCCAAGCGGCACGGCCCTAGCTATGGCCGCTGCCCTGCTGTCGAAAACGACTCGCTGCCTTAGCGCTGAATCGCGCAGCAACGTTACCTATGCAATCGCGACCCGCCTACTTCTAGATTTCGACCTCGAACCTACCAACTACGACCTACACACCGATACGACCCGGTAGGACTGCTACCCTAGGCCTGACTGCATCTAGGCCAGAAACAGGGGAAAGGGAAAAGGCAGCACCCAAAGCAATCCAGAGGAACAAAAGTCTAGAAAATTTTAAAATTGTCCCTCACGGGACCCAACTGAAACAGGCGCAGTCGAGGGCCCATAAATCCTGAAATTGCAAATGTTACCCTACGTAGTATACAGCCTGCTGAAATACTGCAATTCATTGCAAGGGTCCTTTGGGGCTATGGATGTAAACCACCAGGGATCTTTTTGACAGGCAAGTGTTTCCGACAGTTTTGTATACGACTGTGTTCTTCGGATGAACAGTGCGACCGAACCGAACCAAAAGAGCTGGCGACGCCAGGCAAAAAATAAGAAGAACGGGCCTCGTTTTCTTTGGCCGCGGAGGTGAATCTGCATCGGGAACAAGAGGCTGGTAATTAACGGGAAAAAAAAAGCAGAGCAAAGAGAGGCAAAACGGGTGATTTCGCATTGCCTCGTGGTGTCTGTTTGCAAATTCTTCTCCTCCGTTTCTCCGCATTCTCTCCCCTCTGAGGGCATACTCACACATTAAGACTTTTTCTACTAACATCCGGATGTGGTTGCAGTCAGGTTCATCCGCATGTGGCTGCAATTGCAGTTAGATGCATTCATGGAAGTGCTAGTGTGCGTATGTCCTGACTGTGGTTCACCGGGTAGTTTGTGGTGGACTGTAGATGGAAAGAGAGAAGAGGATGGAAAATGGCGGGCTGACTGATACTGTTCCAGTGGATTTCCACTGTGAAATGTGTGTAACGTGCTATCGAGCCTGGGGCTCGCTCCACTACACAACATTTGATCTGTATCTGGTGCTACAAATGGTCCGGATGCGTTCAACATGTTCAATCAGTCCGAATTTATATCGACATCGCCACAGTCCAGATTCACATCAAATGTTGGGTACTGTAGCAAGAGTCTGTGAGACCCTTATGCTTGTGAATTTTTGGCTGGGTGCTAACATTGTGCCTGAAGGCCCTGAGCTGTTTATTGAGCATTTTGTGTTTTTTTACGCTGGGCCCGGTTCCCAGTGGGTGCTGCTCCCCACCAATAGACTGGAGCCGGCAAGACGGCTGTTAGTGGTGGGGGCTCTTATCACCACCACTAGCAGAGTGCGCTGTTTGTTATTAAAAAAAAAAAAAAAAAAAAAAAACACGCGACTGCAGTTGGTAATTCTCTTCCTTGCAGTGACGAGCGCTCGTGTGCTAACAGTTTGCCTGTTTTATTTTTTTTAACCTTTTTTGTGTTTTGCATGCGTTTGCAGTTAGTGATTCTCTTCCTTGCAGTGACGAGGGCTCGTGCGATTGCTGCACCTTTGAATGCTGCATATAAAGAGGAGGAATTTCGTTTCTATATGGAGGATGCAGGTGCAGCGTGTCTGATTATCCCTGCGAAAGCGGGTGGTGGATCGGCAGAGAAGGCGGGGACCACACTCGGCATTCCAGTAGTAGCAGCAGAATGGATGACCAGCAGCGAATCGGCCCAGGCATTGGGTCTGAAATTGGTGTCGGGAGCAGTGAAAGGCGAGAGTTCGATCGATGATGATGACGGTCCAGGCCCTCTGCCGGAACCTGATGACGTGGCACTCTTTCTCCACACGTCCGGTACCACAAGTCGGCCCAAGGGTGTCCCTCTTACCCATGGAAACTTAACCGCCTCCATGAAAAACATTATCAGGACCTATGATTTGCAATCTACCGATCGGACGCTGATCGTCATGCCGTTGTTCCATGTACATGGCCTCATGGCGGCGTTGCTGGCCACCTTAGCCGCCGGTGGCACAGTTGTTCTGCCGGCCGCAGGGCGCTTCTCGGCGACTACGTTTTGGCATGACATCGCCACTTACGGTGTGACCTGGTACACCGCGGTCCCCACCATTCACCAAATACTGCTGAGCCACCACCACAGAAGTCCCCTCGTCGAGTATCCGCGCCTTCGATTCATTCGCAGCTGCAGTTCCTCATTGCCGCCTCCTGTTCTTCATTCTCTGGAAGAGGAATTCAAGGCACCCGTACTCGAGGCATACGCAATGACCGAAGCCAGCCACCAGATGACATCAAATCCGCTTCCGGAACATGGAGGGCATAAGCCCGGGAGCGTTGGTCGGCCCACCGGGATCGAGCTTGCTGTCATCGACTCCGATGGAAAAATGTTGGAAACAGGTCGCATTGGGGAAGTATGCGTCAAAGGGGCGAATGTGACCAAGGGGTACGTGAATAACGAAGAAGCAAACAAGGCGGCCTTCACCGGGGGATGGTTTCACACCGGGGATCGAGGATTCCTGGATGCAGATGGTTATCTGATGCTGACTGGGCGCATCAAGGAGCTTATCAACAGGGGAGGTAAGGAGTTGTGTGAAGATGGTAATCTGTCAGTCGTCCTGAGAATGATTGAGGGCATATGCACACTAGGACTCGCTGGACGCAACTGATGTGAGATACATCCCATGACTGGCTGTAAAAGCTGCCATATTCACTCATCCCAGAAAGTCCCTAGTGTTATATACTAATTTCATTTCATACACATGCAGTACTCTCTGTTTTTTTTTGTTCTTCTTCTTCTTTTTTTTTTTTTTTTTTTTT